CGACTTCACAACCTCAGAAAGCTGTCGGGAGGAAGAGAAAGATAACCCACTAGTCGCAGTGCTAGTCACCTGTAAGCCTTTATAAATGGCAGGGTCTTTCCTGCTAGGGGAAAGTGCTGTGCAGATGTCAGAAAACTCATGTAAAAGTGGGTTGCACTGTCCGCATTTTATGGGTAAAGAACCTGAGGCCCAGAAGTTAAGACGCCATCAGAGGCCACACAGCACAAAGAGAGGCTCTGCTTGATTCCCAAGCCTTACTTTTCACTCTGCCCCATTTTAGACCCTGCTCCTTCTTCCTTCCTGGGGGTTTCCTGTCCTCACCTCCCGCAGAAGAAGGGGTCCTGAAGCACTAAGGGCAGAGCTCTGGGGGCTCTGGCAGCAACTTGCTGGTGCTGGTGAGCCAAGCCTCATCCTCCCCATCCCTACCCTCCTCACTTCTGCTTCTGCCCTCCTCTCCCTCACCCTCTGCAGAGCAAGGTCTGGACTCAGTTACTGTGAACTCACCCCAGCACCGAGGTTGCTTGAAGCCTTCCATGTGATCTGCACAGAATGCTTTCCACTTGGCCTTTCTCTTCAAATTTTGGGCCTTGGTCACAGCCTCAGTCCAGGCCAAGGTCCCCTCTCACCCAGTTCCCTCCTACATTCATTCGTTCAGCAAATACTTATGTCGCTCCCTCCACAGGGCACAAGACTAACCAAGGCCCTGCCCTAATGGGCCTTACTGATCTCCTGGAAAAGTCAGCCTGGATCACAGAATAGAATGGGGTGTGTGCTGAGGCTAAGGCAGGCAGAGCAGCTGGGGAAACCCGGAGTCAAAGAATGAGTAGGAGCTCATCAGGAAAAGCATTTCCAGAGAGGGAACCTCTTGGCTGAGAGCCTCGGGGGCAGACAGGACTTCCTGAGCCCAGCGGGGTTGGTTTTGCCTCTTCTCTCTCATTGCTAACAGGCCACACAGACGCCCCCGCATCAGGTTCTGCCCTCACTTTGCCTCTGTTCTTCACCCACTCCTCCCCGTCACCTGACAACACCGCAGCCTGCTCCCCAGTTTCCTGCGAGGACAGGCCCCTCTGCAAACTGTGCTCCCCACGCGACCACTCTCTGAGGCCCAGAGATAGCCCCAGTGCCCCTGCCAGGAGTCCAGCCTCCTCGAGCCCTGGAGGCTGGGGTCCCACACGGACCCTGGGGGAGGGGAACACGATTTCTGAGGTCCTAGGGCTCCACGTCCGTCCCCCGTCCCCCCATTTCTGGGAAGAAGGAAACAGGCTGCATTTGCCCTCTGATTCTCTGCCTGTTTTCTAGATCTCCCTCTCTCGGCCTCTCCCTCCCGTCCCAGTTTCTCTCTCCCCATCTCTGCGGGTCTCTGGCTCCCTTTCTCCCAGTCTCTCTCCCCGTCGCTGCTCTCTCCCTCCCGGTCTCGGGCTCCGTCTCTCCCGTCTGTCCCTCCCGAGGCCGGGCGGGGGAAATCGCTCCGTAAATAGGCGGATGGCCCCGGGCGCTCCGGGCGCAGACACTCGTTTTTAGAGCCGGTAATTGACTCCTTTCAGTTGATAATTCATGGCTTGCATATGCG